AGAAGGTCCAAAACCTGCAAGGGTGAGCAGTGAGACCCTCCCTGATTCCACAAGAAGTGGTTGGACTTCTCAGGAGACAAGCCTAATATCAACCACAGGAACCTTTGAGCAGGACTACAGGCAATACATCAGGGCTTGTCAGAGTGCAGGGTTACTCATGAGATCGAAAGAAGCATTCAGGAGGAGGAGAAACTTGATCAAATACAACAAATAAAGTTGTTCAAGGACTTGAACAACCATGGACAGGAACAAAAATACTTAAAAAAACTAATGTTAACATTGTTGTGATCTTCTTCTGTTCATTTTGTCATCACTTTAGTGTAGGTTGATAAAAAAAATAATAAAAAATAAAAGAAAAATATTAAACATACAAAAAAAGCTGTGATTGTGTTTGAAATGTAATGTTAGCATAGATGTTATCATGTTTGATAGAAATGTTGATTGTACTGTAGCGTTATGGTTTATGCTCTTTTATGAAAGAGGAACCATTCTACATATTAATTTGTGATATTAATTTTATTAAATTAATAACCAAATTGTATAGTTTTAAGAAGACTCAAAGGTTGTTTTCATCTATAAACTGTCGATAATATCCGTGGGTCTGTGTTTCAGTTCAATGAAGAGACAAGTTGAAAGTTAAAAGATTTAATTCTTCAAATTAAACTAATGATTTTTGAAATGACAAACATGGAAATGACAATCAACATTGGCAACTTTGTGGGACAATCTTTAACAGTTGATATGCTTGCTCAAATAGACCTTGTTTTGGAGGTGCTGAAGATTGAGAGTGATGTGATGTGATTATGGATGCGTGTGTGCAAAGTGTAGTGAGGATTGAAAATGAGGTGAGATGAATGCGTGTGTGCGTCTGATTTTGCTTCAGGAAGAAACAGGTGTCTGAGTGAAAAGTGATGGTTTGAATACACTTAGGTTTTGTTGGAAAAGATGCATCAACGCTATCTATCGTGTTCTGCCTCACCCTACGAGGACCCTCGTTCAGATCCGGAACGTCAACGGACGATGTTTCATCCAGGTCACCTCGGCTGGCAGAGAAGACGAAGGTGTCCACCGGTCCGGTCCAGAGATGCCCCCTTGTACACGTTGATGATAAAGACTCTGGGTGAGTCTGCATTAGCGATTGTAATTCAGCTATTCCTGTCTGTCTTGGCAGGAATAGCGTGAGAGGGGGGGGGGGGGGGGGGGACAGGAGCCGGTGGGCTCCGTTCTCCCGTTAGCAGTTGTTCACACGTCCTGCGGTTGTTCACACGTCCTGTCTCTCTCTCGTTGACCAACTCGAACTGAATCATCAGCCTGAAACTTACCAAAAGCCTTTCTCTTCTCAAAGCAAAACATGTGCATCAGCAAATGTGTTTTGGAGTTTACTGTGAGAGCAGGTGTGTGTGTGTGAGTGTGTGAATGTGTGAAGGTCACCACTAAAACATCCTCAGAACATTATTTAATTAAGCAGTGATTCATTAGTTATTATGATTACCCAAAGCATAATAATCATTCATTTGATTAAAACACATTTATAATGAGCAAAATGATAATGATTATTGTTTAACATTAAAATCAAGAAAGGAAGTTTAAGACTTGTTATGTTATGACTACTTCCATGGGAACACATCTTCTGGCGCTGCAGGTGTTCAGATGTTATGGTTTCCAGCAGACTCTTGCAGACTTCATGTCTGCAAAGGTCTCAATCTGTGGGTGAAAGTTCTCAGCGACGCAGCACTTGACCCAGCCGAGTCAAATGACCTTTGGCACAGAAAACCCATATTTCCTCACGTTACAGTACATAGTTCTTTAGTTCATTTTTGTATCAGTTTTGAGTAGTTAGATAATAAAAATTTCAAAAAAGACAAAAAAAAAAAAAAAAAAAAAAACCCAAAAAAATACCCCCACACTAGGACTGTGCCTTGACGTGGCGTGGGGGCTTTATTGCCCCAGTGGTCCTAGTACTAGTCAGAGATACTGTAACCAATGGTTGCAGTAACTTTGGCTAGTACTAGGACCACTGGGGCAGGACTGAAGAGTCCACTAAAGTTTTCCCATAGAAATGAATGGGATTTTGTAAAGTGAAAATTTCCTGTGTCAGAGGCCAAACCCTTCTCCCAGAAACCTCAAATGAGCACGTTTCAGACCATTTGGAGTCGAATGGTACCTACTTTGAGTGACCGTTTTCCCTAACCCAAATGTATGGAATTTTCAAAAAAAAAAAAAAATTCCTAAGTACCAGAGCCCAAATCCTACTCCCAGAAACCTCATAGGAGCACGTTTCAGAGCATTTGGAGTCGAATGGTACCTACTTTGAGTGACCAATTTCCCCAACCCATAGTTAGGGTAGGGTTAGGTAGAGTAGATAGAGTAGATGTAACTCAGTGAAATCCCCCTGAATCAGTGCTTTGACCAAAACAGTTTGGATTAGGGATTCACTGGCAATGCACGGGCTGCCGCATGTCACTCAAGAACTCCCCTCCAGTTGTTGGGTCGTATTGATGAAGAGTAACAGAGTAGAGTAGAGAAAGAAGAAAGAACAGAATAAAGAAAAACAAGAAAAAGAATAGAAGAAAAGAAACAAAAAGAAAAGAGGGGAGAGAATTAGTAGAGACCAGGTAACAGAGGTGGTGCCATGGTATCACGGTCAACCACAACTGAGCTGGACTAGGCTTAACCCGGCTCCCCCAATTCCTCCTCCTAAGTGTAGGAGAGGGAATGGGAGAGTAAAAGAGGTGAGAAGGGAAACAGCATAGTTTGTGGTGTGGTATCGACTCCACTTCTAAGTAAAGGCCTGTGCAGACTTTATCTGTAATGTAAACGGGTTATCTTTACCATGGCTCTAACCAGTCCAAAGAATGATCCTATCGCCATGATGTATTACAATGTTTGGATCTGTTATTACCCAACAGGACAGGGGCGTCGGACTGGGGGGGGGGAAGGGTACCGTTTACCCAGGGCCCACTGCAGGGAGGGGCCCTGAGACAGCTTTGAATAAAAATGTTTTATTGTTGTTGTTTTTTTTTCCCCCAACTTACTTAATGTCTTAATAAACTTCCCTTTACCTGGATAAAGAGGCTAAGAAACAGAATTTTGCCTTAAAAATAATAACTGAATAATCTCTGAGGCATCTATCACCCCTTAAAAATGTGCAAAGTGGTTTAGTCCACACCAGCGGCCAGGGGCTGCACAGCCGCATGTACAGCTATGAGACATCGCAGATGCCGACAGCCAGAGCTGGAGGCAGGAGAGTCAGTCATGTCTTTTCCCAAGAAAGGGAAATCTGGCTTCCAGAAAAGAAAAGAAGGAGAAGGAGGAAAAGTTAATTGAACAGAAGCAAGTAGAAGGATGGTGAGCAGCAGCAGCAGAACACAGTTTTAGCTGATATTAGCTAGCTCTCAGAAGCTGCATTCATGTTAGGTGTTCAGTGTTAAACACCTTTAGTTTCACCATCAAGATCAAATATAAATTAATTAGTGTTATCAGTGATAACACTAATTAATTAATATATATATTAATCAGAATTATTATCGCGGGCGGCCGCCAATTAATTGGCGGACCTTGCAGTAAAAACAGGTTCACTGTGTGGATATTTCAGCTCCTTCCCAGTCATGGACCAGGACAAACTTGGTATCGATGGATTCGTGGTAATCTCAGGAATGAGAAGCTGCCACTGTTTTTCATATAGCATGATGACACTGGTGTTAGAGGATTGTTATTGACTTGGTTAGATATTTTAAGCCTATTTTAAATTTCTTTATATTTGATCTTGAAAACGGACAATCTTATAATTTGGTTGATAATGCAGGGATTATAAAATTTAGAGTACATTACATTCACAGAGAGAACCTGGTTTATTTCATGTCATATGTATTTAATATATCAATATATATCAGTAGTAGCAAAGCTTAACATCATGAACCATGACAGACATGACTGAAGAGCAGATGAAGATATCATGCCAGGCACTGATGAGAAAATATTACAAGGATCTCACAGCTGAATTTAAGAATGAGATGCTACACCTGAGAACAATATATGGTGCCACATTTCCACACATTCGGTCTCCTCTTGAGCTGCTTAATTCCATCTACAGGATGCAATTACAGAGCATTTTTGGAGAAGTTTGTATTGGACTGAGGATATTTTGCACACTACCTGTGACTGTTGCTGGGGGTGAACGGGCTTTTAGCAAACTGAAACTGGTGAAAAATTATTTGAGATCAACAATGTCCCAGGATAGACTGAACAGCCTAGCTCTTCTTTCTATTGAAAGCCAATTAGCCAAAGGATTGGACTTTAAAGATCTCATAAGTGATTTTGCTAACATGAAGACCCGTCAGTGGGCATTTACTGGAAAATAAATTCCAGGAGTTTTGTTTGAACACATTGTTGGCAAATAAAAATAATTATATGTGAAGTCTGGGCATTTCACTTTTATTATGCTGGCATTTGTAATTGCTCAAAATAGAGGTTAAACTAAGATCATATTTATTATCTTGTCTTATAGCATGACAAAAAATGTGTAAGAGAGATATTAAGTAATTGAGCATGGGGGCCCACCTAGAAGACTTGTACCTAGGGCCCAGAATTTGGTGCTACGCCCCTGGTGGTGGCCACCTCCCATTTCTGCACAAAAACTTGTTATAGGCATCTATGGAAACCCATTGTCTATATATTAATGTCGATGGTTCTGACCCATAAACAGCTGAACTTTTCTGGTGTTCGAAGTAGCTTTAATGTGTCCCAGAATAAAGCCACTGATCAGCGCTGTGCTCTGATTGGTTCTGAGTTTATACCAGTCTCAGCCCAATGCTCTTACAGAACCTGAAGATGATCAATGATGATTGATGCTTTTAACTCATGAGCAGGTTTGAGCCAATTCTGTTACCATGATGATGCAGCCATCATCCTGAGCGATGCTGGAGCTCCAGCCTCAGCTCACTATAATGATTTAAGCTGGAGAGCGTCAGAATGAAACAGTGAAAACAGGAAACACCAAAGAGCTTGTGCATGGTTTTATTATCCAATACTAAAACTTCACTACATACACCAGGTGTTCTCACCAACCACCGAATAAAACGGGTCAGAAACTACTTCTACACACAAACTAAATCAGCAAACTACAAAAATCACAAAAGAAAAGAACACCCAAGGGTTTTTACAAAACTAACAAACACATCCAAGTAGCTCTTCACTCAGAGGGATGTTTATATTCTTTTAACTGCGTCATCGATTTCAGCAATCTGGTCCTTCAGCTGGTTCCATTGTTCTGGGTTCAAGGAGATTCCTGAGGGGAGAAAACAGCTGGTTAGCAGCATCTTCTTCCCAAACAGTTCAGAGATTTTAGGAGCTCACCTTTCTTGCCCGGCTTCATCTCTCCATCCGGGTTCATCCAGTACTCTCTGATGTCAATCAGGACTTTACCCTTGAAGTCTCTAACGCTGACGTACCTCATCTTACCGATCTGCAGGAAGCAAAGTCACTGTTAACACCTCACCTGTTAAACTGTTGCTCCTAAACAGGAGCTTCTGCTGATGAACATCAAACACCAGCTGAGCAGCTTGTTAAGGTGCATTTTCACTGGACAGCCCACCCCAGCCAGTTGGTGTTTACTCAATCTTTTTAGGAATGCAGACCTGGGTGTGGACATATTGACTAAAAAGGTACAGAGACACCCGTGGTGTCCTCCATTAGCACCATAAGAATGGCGTAACTTCAGCCAGCCAATCAGTCTATAGGTGTGTGGGTGTGTGATCAGCTCAATACAACGCAAACAGCAGGAAAGTAGGGATCGAAAAAAAAAAATGGTTAGCTCTACTTGAACAATGCCGATGATAAATGATCCACACTTGTATAGAGCCTTTCAGAGCCATAGGACTGACACTACAGTGTAAATACATTCACACTCTGGTGGTGATGAGCTATGATGTCGCCACAGCTGACCGGAGGCACAGTGACTGAGGCGAGAGTCAAGCACAGGCGTCACTGGTCTCTCCGACCACCACCAGCTGGTTGTGTGGAGAGTTCCAATTCAGTTGTTTAGAAAGAGAAAACGAGCTGTCTGGTTGGGGTCTGGTGTAGTGGGATGCATTGATCAGCGTTGAACGGGGGAGCCTGCTCATCATCACCCCAGCAGAAAGGGGCGAACTCTGGGAACTGGTGATGGTTGTACCCCTTGTGCAGAAGTACTGGGACCAGAGTGAATAGGGTGTGCATGGGGAGTGTGAGTGGTTGTCCAGCATTCATTTTTTTAAGTCTTAGGTTGTTTGTGTGAGCATGAGGGAGGGAATGTGTGAGGTGGGGTCTTGGACTCCTCCCCTCTCCAGGGACTTCTTGTGCTGCTACACATCTTCGCCTACCCTCCCCCTGCCACATTTGGTGTTGAGTGTGGTGCCTTGGTCTGCCTGAGTGTTTGCGGCTCCCGGGTCAGGGGATGTAAGATTTTTGGCGTCTGCCTGATTGATCCCGGTGGCTGCCTGTTGGGATCTGAGTCCCTGGGCTCTGTTGGGTCCCCGGCAGGCGTGGTCGCCCCTGGGTCCTGGGGTCATTGGACTCATTTTACCCATTCACCAGGGATCTCTGGCAAATAGCAGTAGACAACTTGAGGTCACTTGGTCTCCAGTACTGGCAGATATCGCATAAAGGCTGGGCCTTGGGAGCATGGCAAAATTTGCCATCACACCACGGAAATACGTCTGCCTCTCATTTCTTCAGTTATCGTGACATCAACACGAAATTTTTGGTAAGTAATCCTAGTCTAACCCCGATTAGAAATTGGGAACTTAAGTTTGTGGGTGTGGCCTATTTTCTGAAATAGCGCCCCCTAGGACCATTAAAACTGTCAGCCCCAAGCCATACTTTGAGGATCACAAAATTTGGTACACTAATGTAGTGTCTCAGGACCTACAAAAAAAAGTCTAGGAGCCAAGCGCAAGGTCGCACAGGAGGTCGGCCATTTTGGTCCAAGTACTCGATTTAGTGGTTTTTGCACACATTGTTTGGAGAATGATGCCCCGTTGCCCTTTTCACCGATTGCCTTCAAACTTCTGCTATATACTCTTAAGACATAGGGTGAAAAATTCATTCGTCGGATTTTAAATAAGTATAAAGGTGTGGGCGTGGCCAAGCCTCAAACTTTGACTGGTCGCCAGGCCACTCATTTTTCACAGCTCCCTATTGGACTCCTTTAACCCAATCACCAGAAATCTCTGGCAAATAGCAGCAGATGAGTTGAGGTCACTTGGTCTCCAGTACTGGCAGATTTCGTATAAAGGCGGGGCTTTGGGAGCATGGCAAAATTCGCCATCACGCCATGTAAATACGTTTGCCTCTCATTTCTTCATTAATCGTGATATTGCCATAAAATTTCTGATGAGTGATCCTAGTCTGACCCCCAAAAGAAATGGAAAGCTGAAGTTTGTGGGCGTGGCCTATTTTCTGAAATAGCGCCCCCTAGGACAATTAAAACTGTCAGCCCCAAGCCATGCTTTGACTGAGGATTATGAAAATTTGCACACTTATGTAGTGTGCCTGGGCCTACAAAGAAGTCTCATGGAGCCATGCTCCATATCACACAGGAAGTCGGCCATTTAGCTCCAATTACGTTTCAGATTCTCTTTCGAAGTTGGAATATTTTGCTATTGTAAAACATTTTTAGTGGGGATGATCGGCAGGCTAGGAGGAAAGGCTGAGTCAGATTGAGGTGACAGCTCACAGTGATCACATTTAAATGCACGTCGGGGTGTCTAGCGCGCATGGGCGCTCGTGCACCACCGGTTGCAGGGCGATGGGTCTGGAGAGCGTCGGGGATGGAGCGGAGGGGGTGTGGACGGAGGGCGAGCAGCTTCACTGTGAGGGCCGAACGACACTGATTGGAGCTTTAATTATTTATTTATTTTTTTCTTCCGTGTCTTTGAATGGCCTGTTGAGGGTCAAAGCATATCCAAATTCTGGCCCACTATAGAAAGTGCGTGAAATTTATGTATTTTATTGGCGATGTGAAGGTTGCTAAAAAAGTGTTTCGACAGCGCCCCCTGGAAAATAAAAAATTCCCCTCCACTTTGACCTTATTTTATAGTAGAGTGATGAAATTTGGTACACTTGCAGAACTCAACAATACGCACAGAAAAGTCTCTTGCACCCATTGTCAATATCACACAGGAAGTCGGCCATTTTGGACTAAAGTAGCGATTTTGACCCCGTTTTGGTCATCTCTAGGGTCTATATTTGGTTGAATAGTTTGGTCATTTTTCGCACGATCATCTCAAAAATAGTGTGCGATCGAACAGAAGCGATGGACGTTTCAAATGACAAAATAAGATAGACTTTTCGTAAGTACTGGCCTCAAAGTTCGAGCACTCGCCAAAAAATTTGAAATTGCTATAATTTCATAAGTGAAAGAATTACAGTTAAAAAAAATTCTAAGGACATTCGTCATCGCCCCCCGAAGACAATTGAATGGTCGATTGATGATGTCACACAAGCCCGCTCCCTCAGGACTTAAGTTTTACTGGGAAAATTTCCAAAATTCGTGCATTCGAATAATCACCACAAACTTGTAGCAGGTAACTGAAGACAAGTTGGGGTTGCTTGGCCTCACTTTACGGGAGCTTTCGAAAGACAGCGCGGCTGTGATGGTGCGGCAAAGTCAGGCGTAACTCCTTGGCCATACAGTGGGGCAAAAAAGTATTTAGTCAGCCACCGATTGAGCAAGTTCTCCCACTTAAAATGATGACAGAGGTCAGTAATTTACATCATAGGTACACTTCAACTGTGAGAGACAGAATGTGAAAAAAAATCCATGAATTCACATGGCAGGATTTTTAAAGAATTCATTTGTAAATCAGGGTGGAAAATAAGTATTTGGTCACTTCAAACAAGGAAAATCTCTGGCTCTCACAGACCTGTAACGTCTTCTTTAAGAAGCCTTTCTGTCCTCCACTCGTTACCTGTATTAATGGCACCTGTTTGAACTCATTATCTGTATAAAAGACACCTGTCCACAGCCTCAAACAGTCAGACTCCAAACTCCACTATGGCCAAGACCAAAGAGCTTTCGAAGGACACCAGGAAAAGAATTGTAGACCTGCACCAGACTGGGAAGAGTGAATCTACATTAGGCAAGCAGCTTGGTGTGAAAAAAAATCAACCATGGGAGCAATTATCAGAAAATGGAAGACATACAAGACCACTGATAATCTCCCTCGATCTGGGGCTCCACGCAAGATCACATCCCGTGGGGTCAAAATGATCATGAGAACGGTGAGCAAGAATCCCACAACCACACGGGGGGACCTGGTGAATGACCTGCAGAGAGCTGGGACCACAGTAACAAAGGTCACCATCAGTAACACACTACAACGGCAGGGAATCAAATCCTGCAGTGCCAGACGTGTTCCACTGCTGAAGCCAGTGCATGTCCAGGCCCGTCTGAAGCTTGCCAGAGAGCACATGGATGATACAGCAGAGGATTGGGAGAATGTCATGTGGTCAGATGAAACCAAAGTAGAACTTTTTGGTATAAACTCAACTCATCGTGTTTGGAGGAAGAAGAATACTGAGTTGCATCCCAAGAACACCATACCTACTGTGAAGCATGGGGGTGGGAACATCATGCTTTGGGGCTGTTTTTCTGCTAAGGGGACAGGACGACTGATCCGTGTTAAGGACAGAATGAATGGGGCCATGTATCGTGAGATTCTGAGCCAAAACATCCTTCCATCAGTGAAAGCTTTGAAGATGAAATGTGGCTGGGTCTTCCAACACGACAATGATCCCAAACACACTGCCCGGACAACAAAGGAGTGGCTCCGTAAGAAGCATTTGAAAGTCCTGCAGTGGCCTAGCCAGTCTCCAGACCTCAACCCCATAGAAAATCTGTGGAGGGAGTTGAAAGTCCGTGTTGCTCGGCGACAGCCCCAAAACATCACTGCTCTCGAGAAGATCTGCATGGAGGAATGGGCCAAAATACCAGCTACTGTGTGTGCAAACCTGGTAAAGACCTATAGTAATTGTTTGACCTCTGTTATTGCCAACAAAGGTTATGTTACAAAGTATTGAGTTGAATTTTTGTCATTGACCAAATACTTATTTTCCACCCTGATTTACAAATAAATTCTTTAAAAATCCTGCCATGTGAATTCATGGATTTTTTTTTCACATTCTGTCTCTCACAGTTGAAGTGTACCTATGATGTAAATTACTGACCTCTGTCATCATTTTAAGTGGGAGAACTTGCACAATCGGTGGCTGACTAAATACTTTTTTGCCCCACTGTACGTTTGCCTCCCATTTCGTCATTTCTAAAGATATCGCCACTAAACTTCTGGTGGGGGATTCTAGTCTGGCCCCCTAAAAAATTCTTGTGAAAATGCGGTGGGCGTGGCCTATTTTCTGAAATAGCACCCCCTAGGACCATTAAAACTGTCAGCCCCAAGCCATACTTTGACTGAGGATTACGAAATT